TCCCCTGCCGACCAGCGCGGCCGGCGCGGCCGGGAGCGAGCGAAAGGCTCGCCGTAGTTAGCCGTCGGGGACTGCCCGGCGGAAGATTGCACGTCGTTGTGAGACGGGCCGATCCGTCGATCCGAGTACCCCGTCTCGCGGGCAAAGCGCCCCGGCCGAGTGTTGCGTGTGCGACGGTATTCGTACCGTTCGCGAGAAAATTACTGTCGAGTGCGTCCGTGTCGTCCGCGTAGGGTTTATCGCGTATGGATAATTTCTGCCGTTGGGTTCGCGCCGGATTGTTCCGTGTCGTCGAGTGTATCGTGGCGAGTTGTTCCCCCGATCTCGGGGCTTGTACTATATATTGTTGCCCGCGACGCCGCCCGTTATAGCGGCCGCTCAACCGGCTTGTTAACGCCGCCTTATATTAAACCCGATTTTATTTATATTATTTTTCTGAGTTTCTTTTCGTGTACGTCTCCCTCTCCGTGTGTCTCGTCCGTCGTGTGAATTTCTTAAGTCCCGTAGCCTCTGGAATCTTGTGGCGTCAACCACCACCCCGCCCCTCTACCGTTAGGCGAGCTAGCCTGCCCGTGGCGAGGGCCGATACCTGCCGTTCGTGCTATTTCGCGGGTATCGCGACGTGACGCGTGAAAGACCGCGTCTGGCGCCCAATCTTCGCTTTTCGCGTCGAACCTTCGGCTTTCGGCACGGTACGCGCGGAGCTACCGAGATCCTGTTCCTTTCCGGCGCGTTATCATTTCCCCCCCCCCCCTTGGTTTTTGACGACGACTCGATCCGTCCGCATCCCGCGCTTCTCGCGCCCGGCGACCACACTCCCCGTCGTCGGCGCGCACCTTCGCCTAAGACCCGCGCGCGACAGCGAGAGCGGGACGGCAGCACCCGTCCGTCCACGTATCACGGGAGGACGGAGAAAAGTAGAAAAGAGAGAATAATCGTCGCAATATATATATATATATATATTCATGACCATTGTTTAGGCCCGTTCCATTGGAGCGTTTTGGGTCTCTCTCGTGCTCCTGTTGTTGGCAGGGATGTCTGCTGTGACTTTTGGTAGTCGTTATTTCCTTTTATTGGTATTGTTTTGGGGGTTACCATCCTTCGCTAATTCTCGCAAAATGTCGAGAGGCGCGCAAGCGAGGCGTGAACTCTGTTGTCGTCGGATGCAGGAGCTCCAGGTTGGCTCTGACGGCGGAAGATGGTCCTCAGGAACGATTGGAGTTTCTGGCTCGCTATCCTGCGGTAGCAAAGATTGCTGGAGAGTTTGAGATTTCGCATCTGAAGAGGCTTCAGGAGGCAACCGCGGATTTTGATACGGAGGATGAAGTGCGGACCCAGTTCGATAAAATCCATTATAAGATAAAGGCCAAGTACTTCGCGCTCACCAGTGTGCCTCGGTCAAACGAGGCTGATCCGGAGTAATCGCGCCTCGTTTCCGCCTCAAAGGTAAAACTGCCCAAGATAGCGTTGCCCGTCTTCTCGGGGGACGCGTCTTTTTGGCCGTCATTCATCGCGTTGTACAACACTTTGATACACCACAATGGGCAGCTGGCGAACATTGCAAAATATCAATACTTGTTGGCCTCGTTATTGGGAGAAGCGCTTCAGGTGATAAAGAACGTGAAATTCGACCCGGACCACTATTCCATCGCCTACGATTTATTGATTGAACGATATCAGAACAAGCGGAGGTTGTCCACGAATTATTGGCATTCCCTGGTACATGCTAAGCCACTGAAGACGGATTCAGCAAAGGCGTTGCGCCAACTGTTGGATACATTCAACGCAAATACTCGGGCGCTGCAGATGATGGAGTTCCCGGTCGATTCTTGGGATTTCGTCTTGTTCAATACGCTATTGGACAAGCTCACCCCATCTCTCCAGGAGAAGTTCGAGGCGGAGCATCGAAAAACAGAGATTCCCAAATATGCTCAACTTACGGCATTCCTTGGCGAATATATTAAGGTTTTTGCATCAATGACTGAGAGGATGGGATCCATAACTGGACATCCCTCGAAGTCAAAGGCCTTGGCATCCTCCTTCGTGGCGAGCGTGGATTCCTGTCCAGTCTGTGGAGAATCACATCTCGCGGCGAAGTGTTCTCGTTTTTTTAAACTGCCTCCTAAGGAGAGGCACTCAACTGCCAAGAAGCTAAAGATGTGCTTCAACTGCTTGCGTCTCGGTCATGGGCTTGGAGGGTGTACATCGACGTGGACTTACCGGGAGTGCGGAGCCAAGCATCACACGCTGTTGCATCTTCCGGTTTCGAAATCTACGGTGACCTCGGCGGTTACCGGCACCTCCTCTGACTCAGTAGCTGAGACGGTTTCTCTCGCACAAGGAGACGAACCTCTCGTTACCACGACGAGTGTTTCTCGGTCGAACTCCATCGTCCTGTTGTCGACTGTACGGGCCGAGGCTTTGGACGTAAATGGTGCTCCATTCTCTGTTCGCATCTTACTGGATAGCGCTAATCAAGCGAATTTTATTACCGAGAACTGCATGCGGAGAGGAGGTTTTAGTCGGACCAAGAAGCACACAGTAATCATGGCGGTGAACAATGCCAGAGCAGCTACCACCCGGGGTAATGCCTCGTTCGTAATTCAACCGTGTGGCCAGAGTGATACTCGTATTCCCATTGAGGCTACAATTCTACCGTGGATCTCTGCCCAATTGCCTGGCAGTCACATTGAGAGCGAGCCTTGGAATCATTTGGATGGGCTCAAGCTTGCCGATCCGCACTATCACCAGCCAGGTCCTATTGATGTGCTAATTGGAGCTGATGTGTTTACGTCCTTACTGCAGGATGGTCGTCGAGTGGGAGCAAGAGGTGAACCGGATGCATTCAACACTATTTTCGGATGGGTCCTCCTGGGTTCCGTATCATCGCGCGCACCGCGCCCGGTGCATTCCTTCTTGACTCTTGACACATCTGATGACTTCCTCAGTCGATTTTGGCAGTTGGAAGAAGTTCCTGATATCTCTACAAACTCGGAGGAAGACAGGAGATGCGAGGAATTATTTGCGCGAACTACACGTCGTGAAGTCTCAGGTCGTTTTATAGTATCATACCCCCTTTGTAGGGGACAATCCTTGTTTTGTTGATTCACGCCAAATGGCTATAAATAGATTTCGCTCGCTTGAGCGTAGATTTCGATCGGATGCAGGGTTTAAGGTTGACTATCACCAGTTCATGCAGGATTATCTGGATAATGGTCACATGGAATTGATAACCCAGCCATTCCCAACGGACGGAGCTGTTTTCTACTTGCCTCATCATGGGGTGTTGAAACTAGATTGTACAAAGACAAAACTGCGAGTAATATTTGACGCGTCGGCCGTGTGCAGCAATGGGTTGTCGCTTAATCGAACGCTGTTGGCCGGTCCGAAGCTGCAGGTAGACATAATGGCTATTTTGTTAAGATTTCGTTTTGGAACAGTGGCACTATCCGCGGATGTAAAGCAAATGTTCCGTCAAGAATGGCTAGATCCTAGTCAACGTGACAGAGAATTGTTTGGCGCTTTACGGAGGAGGCTCCGATTGCAGATTATCGATTGAAAACGGTTACCTTCGGGATCGCACCTTCTCCCTATCTAGCGGTTCGTTGTTTACTGCAACTGGCGACCGGGTGAAGGGCGTTATTCTTTGGCCTCAGCCGCTTTGAAGACATCGCTTTACGTGGACGACATAGTGGTGAGCGTGCATTCGGTGGAGGAAGCCCGGGAGCTTCAGAGACAACTGCAGCAGCTACTCGCAAGTGCAGGTTCGAGTTCAGAAAATGGAGCAGCAGCCACCCAGCTGTTCTGGGCGATCTGGATCCCACCCTTTGTGACCGTTCGCTGCTCTCATTTGAATCAGCGGAAGAACAGTTTCTGAAGATATTGGGACTTCGCTGGTATGCCCAATCAGATAGCTTCGGTTTCCAGGTCAACCCATTGAGCAGGGAATGTACTAAGCGCACGATTCTCTCGGAAGTGGCGCGAATATTCGATCCATTAGGCTTCTTGACTCCTCTCACGTTCGCAGCCAAGCGCTTGATACAAAAGCTATGGGTATTGAAGGTCGACTGGGATGATCAACCCCCCGCCGAGGTATGTTTACGTTAGGAAAGATACAGATCAGAATTACCTGCGCTGGCTTCGATACGCGTGCCTCGCGCTGTTGCGGTGAAGCGTGTAGTGAGACGTGATTTGCATGGATTTTGTGCTGCAAGCGAACAGGGCTATGGAGCCGTGGTCCCAGCAAACACAGATATACAGGGTGAGTTTTTTATTTTGAGACAACGAAAAATCTCGAGAACTGCACATCAAATAAAAAAAAGTTTCAGACAAAAGTTGTATGGTTTCGAGGGGGCCATAAGACGGTACCATAGGTTTGACCTTGAAGAATTATTTGAAGGTCACATAAAGGTCACACCAATTTTTTTAAATGGCATCCCCTATTTTTTATTACATATTTTTGTAGCTAACCTCGAGAGCTTTCCAAAACGCTATAATAAAGTATTTTTTTATTAAGAACTTTTTAAGTTATTAAGGTTTGAAAGTTCCAATATTTTGATGTAAATTACAAAATATCTTGTAAACTATTCATTTTTTATCATCTTACCTTAATACTTTTTTGAACAGAATAATGATACAAATCAACTGGTGTAAAGAAAATAAACAATTTTGTAACAAGCAATAAAAAAATTTTTTTTATTGATTTGTTGAGCCAGTTGATTTGTATCATTATTCTGTTCAAAAAAGTATTAAGGTAAGATGATAAAAAAATGAATATTTACTTGATTGAATTTTAATTGGGTAAATATTTACCCTTACATAGCACCCGCCAATCAACTTCCGTTTGACCTTGATGTTGACCTTGACCCCAAGGAAGTCAAGG